GTAGAGTTCATTCAATTTCAACAACCCAAAATAAATGAGATGAGCTGCTATTTATAGTGGTCTTTAATGTGGCACTATTCAGCTACTGTTCACTGGTCTTGTCGCACAGTAATTCGGCAGGGCAGTTCGGCGTCCGTCTGACGGTTATTTAATGCGATTTGAGGTTTCTCCAATCATTGCCTGACGGGCATTAAATGCCAGCATGGGGGGCATTTAATGCTGGATGGCTTTGCTGACTTAGGCTGGCTGGTAGGGGGCTAGGCCATGATTACCTGTCCCATCGTCCAATGATGACCCCCCAAGTGGGAATATTTTAATGTTCATCGAGGCCCGTGCGTCGTCCCTGGCCGGCCTCCTCGTACTTTCAGGTCGGCACTTCGTTCGTAGATGCTCATGAGACTACGATTAGTCCCCTTCCTGTCCGGCACCCTTCCAGGTCGGCGGCTACCCGGTCTGAGCCTGGCACCGGGCTGAAAATCTGTTCCCAGGGCGGTTTACCGCCCCTCTAATCCGCGGTCCAGCTCGGCACTTTGGTATCAGACCGGGTTCTTGTTTCGATCCGGAGGGGCTGAGTATCCGATCCGGCCCGGACCGAATCGGTTGTCAACACCCCCTTGATTTCTCTCATCTTTTCGCGTGCTTTACTTGCTTTCGATTTCAATTTCGTAGAGTAGCTTAGTTTAATTCAAATCCCCAATTTTCGAGTAGAATGTTTAGGACCTTTTCGGTTGTGTGACTTAGACGACTAGGCAGTGAACGAAGCTCCGAATAGCCTTCCTTTGAGAACGACCCGAGTCGGGTAACTCGGTTATCCTTTGCCCATCATTTTTATACTCAACAGTCATTTTCATAATCACTGAATACATATATGGTACCACCATTATAGGGTTCATTTTGGAGCAGTAATTGACTTCACATAGCTAATGTTATTTCATTTCCTTTCTCTGGCCTAGCTTTTTTTTTTTTTTATCTATGACTTCACATTGCTTCGCTTCGTTTGTACCCTAATGTGCATTTGCCATAGTTTCAGCATTACGAAAAACTCGTGTCAAACATATATCGGATTTGGGCGCTCTAGCCAAAACGTGGGAACAGTTAGAAGTTTACACCCATTTATTACTTTTTTTTAGTATGAATTGTTTCAAATTTATGTATGGAAAACATACCACAAGTTTATCTTATGTTATTTTATACTTAATAAAATTGATTTAACTTGAATATAAAATTTATTATATTATATACTTTAAGACTAATTTATTATTTTAAATTAGTACTGATATATATATATATATATATACATATATATTGTTTTATATCAATATAAATAATTATATTATTTTTATTTTATTGCAATATATGGGTCAACTCAAACATCATTGAAAATAAATGATGTGATATATTACATATAAAAAGGTATCAAATAAAAATATGAAGTATTTGAAACTTAAGAAATTTAATGATAGAAAGTAATAAAAGTCCTAACTAAAAAATTTTAAGATTAACATACCCACTTTTAAAGAAATATACAT